GAACTTCAGGATAGAGATGATGGCAGTAGAGTCATTTTTCCTCTTGGGCCATGCTTATTTTTTTCAACACTGCACACATGTTTCTTGTGCTCTTACATTCCCATCACTATGCAAGAGGACCGTGGTGGCACACAGCTGTTAATGACACAGACTCTGAGTTTTGGCATGAGGTTGATCTGGGAGGTCGTGGACCTTTTTAGCATCTCTATGACCTCCAACATGAAAACTTCTCTCCTTGACTTGCCTGTACCAACAAAAGTTTCTCTGAGGATAATCTCAAGAAGCTTCGGGGGCCCCCAATCTGAGGTTATGGAGAACATGGCCAGAGGCTTTTCACTCTTCTTCCCCAGGAGCCTCAGATGGCTTAAATCATTGTATCATAAGAACACATTAGGCCAGATTAAACAAGGCTCATTATAGCAGGCGATGCCTGGGGTGGCTATAATCACCTAAATTTCTTTCAGACGAATGGCAAACCATCAAAGTCATGTTCGTGTTAAGATGTTGGATACATTAATACTCTTCTCTGTTTGGATGGCCAATGAGTAAGTGGCCAATGGCATCATCCTGACGGGAACTCACAGGGCCCACTAACTTTCCTCATTTCCCACCCCTACCACATGTGGGCTAAAATCTCCCAGAACCATCAACTGCTCCCATAACTTGGAGTAGATCCCTGTCCATTTTCTCTTTATCCTTGTTAGCATCTGTCCTGTCAGGTCGCAGGCCATGTTGTGAGAGAATGCTTTTGAGGAGGGATATGCATGGGGCCATCACACAGGCGCCCAGGCCTCGTGAGCGACTTGAGACTTTTTCGTTGAGGATTCTCCAATTACACAACAAAGAAAAAAACAAAACCCCACTCTGAGAGCTACCATTTGAAAGTGGACAAAGAGCTCCAGAAGGTTTTGTGGCCTTTCTTTATAATTTCTCTTCATCTGGCTTTGCTCACTGTAGCAATTGCATCATCAGAGTATTGTTTTGATCTTTACTCCCAGAGGAGGATTTGTTTAAGAATCAAGACTTATGTGATTGGACAGCTCTCCTGAAGCCTAGTAAATAATTCTGTATATCTGGCATCTTGAATAATCACCGCTTTGGGGTCAAGGTTGGAATTTCACCAATGTAATCAGAAGCTGGCATTTCCCACATGTGTTTTGAGTCTTTATAGACAGGGGTACTGAAGTGAATAAAATAACAATCAGAGAAGTGATCCTAAATGTGAGCAGTGCTTTCAAAGAAATAGAAAAAAAAAATGAACACCTTCTTAAATTTAACTGTGATTTGCAGCTTTCTCTAAAAAAATTGGAGGTCAAGCCCTAGACTTAAGAGAGCCATAAAATTTCTGGAAAAGATATCCCAAAACATGCTTCTGGTGACTGTGTGTTGACCATATACTTGAAAAATAGATAGAATTCAATCCATCTTACCTTAATTCTGGACTAGGAAAACTGGGTTCCATATACGCCAGCGATTTTGAACCAGTGGGCCACAAGAATTTTTAAAACAAGCAATTCTTTACTATTTTAGTTAGGAGCACTGACTTCCCTAGATTGTCAAATCAAAACAAAACAAAAATGACAACAGCCAACACAATAGCTGTCCAGTGTGAATGGATCAGAATTATACCTTTTTTTTTTTTGGTCAGATCGGCAAAAAATATATTTTTTGGTGTGCTGCAGAATTTTAGTGATTAGTTTATGTGTGCCATGAGATGAAAAAGGTTGAAAATCCCTGATACGTACAAGTGGGAGCATTAGTGACGAGTGAGAGCAAAAATAGGAAATCCCTTTTTATCTGTTGGATATTTTCAGGAGCAGGTAGCTCAGATTCAGGCTGACTGATGGGTGTGCCGTGATGTGGACACCAGGAGGCCTCCGCCACCCCATACTGTGATTCACAGAGGGGGAAACAGAAGCCCCCACTCACCCTGTGGTCTGTCTGACCTTTCTTGAAGATGCAAAGAGACAGATAATTCTTAAGGAATTAGAATTCAATGTGACATATTCTTGCTTTTTAACTAAAAACCCCCACAACTGCCTGATAAAGAGGATATCACTGTCAAATTCCCTTTTATTCCAAAAACCAACCTCTATGCTAAAAGATGGAGCAAAACCACCAAAGGAGCTAGTCAATTCCAAGGTTAGTAATCTGCTCTGGGAAATGTCACTGGGTAAAAGGTCCTGATGCTGAGGACTTGGCCATGAGGAGCGCAGACCTGGCTTATTCGTCTGCGCCAGCTGTTGAAAGCAATCAGGTCCCACTTTTCTGTTTAGAGAGGGTGGCAGTGTGAATAAACAGGCCCTCCTTGCTTCTGCCTTCACTGCGTGGAAATCTCGGAGTCAGTGTTGTGGATCCTGGCTCTCTCCCTGGCGTGCGGCATAAATATACTCTAGCATCAGAGCTAGCGAGGGTAGAATGACCTGCTGTATAAGAATCTGGTAACAAAAGAAAATGTAACACTTGAATTTCTGACTTCTCACATCAGCATTTTTTTCCTTTTCCTAAATGATCCTCACAGGGAGCAGAAGTTCCCTGGAAATATAAGAAAGTGCTTCTTGTTACCGTCCAAGTTTAAAAAGGACTTTCTGCTTCTTATTTCCATTTAAAAAAAAAGGCACCACCATTGTTTCCCTCCTTTGCATGGCCTGGCCCTGCCCTCTTGTCCCCAAGGCTACAAAGCCTTCCTTCAGCACTGAGGTGCTCCTTCGCTTGGCAGGGATGCAGCTGGCCACAGGCAGAGACCCAGGGGAGCGAGTTGCCATGCAGGGAGATGAGACAGGGACGGAAAATGCTCACCACACAATGAAAGGTAATGGAATTCCCAGCCAGCGTCCTTTCATCTGAGCCACTATGACTAGCCCATTACTGCTTCAATGTCCTGTGACATTTTTCTGGTATTTATGACTGTCAACCTCCCTCTCAAATCATGCACATTCACCTTGATAGATGTCTTATCTGGAGGGGAAGATGCATCCGAAATCCCGAGGAGGGAATCTGCTCTTAAAGACTCACCATAGGGTGGGCAGCGGAGGTGGGAGGGGGTGGTTTGACTTCTTGGCAGCAAAACAAAAGGGACATTCTTTAGGTCCGGTTGATGAGCAGCCATGAGATGAGACACTACATGTAGCCCAGCCTGCCCACAAGCAGGTCATGCGTCATCCATGACTGCGCTGGAGAGAATGTCCCTAAGTCCCTCATCATCTGACTCAAATTTGATGTTTTATCTTATAAAAGTCTGACATCCATAACTTTTTGGAACTTGGGAAGCCGGGTTGAAGACTGTGAGCAAGCCAGGAAAACAGAAATGTCCTCCCTCTGAGCTCTGATTTTAGTTTTAATAGGGCTGGGCCCCTTGTGGGCTGGGGAGGCTGAAAGGTCAGCTGTCCTCAGACATGCAGGAAAGGGGAAGCAGAGGTGAAGGAAGAGGGCCCGCCAGGAACTTGAGCCCCTTCTCTTTACCGGGGGTTCAGGTCCATCACAAGGTAAGATGACACTGACACAAGAAGCCACCCAGAAGTCACAGCAAGATGAATGCTATGGAAAAGCAGGGAGGGCTGCCATGAGCTCTGTGTGGCTGAAAAGAGTGTGGGCTGGTGAGTTAGGTGTGGAACTCTGAGCTAATCCTAATAGGAAGACATGGCCTCTGGGAAGGCTGCGGGCCGGATGCCTCCGCAGAGGAGGGAATAACGTGTGTGCTTTACAGGGTGACTGCTAGGAATACGAAATAATGCAGTGAAAGCCTTTAGCACAGCACTTGGCACAATAAAAGTATTCAAAATTAGAAGCCATTATTATCAATGTATTAAGTAGAAGGTATTCTACAGCCACTTATAAAGAGTGATATTGTGAGGGCAGGGGTGGTGACTATGCATGGATTTCAGGCTATAAAACAAAAGGAATGGGGCCTAAAAAAAATACACACACACAAAAAACACCATGAGATAAGAGGCAGCTCCATTTGCTCAGAATTCCTTTGTCCCCCCCAAAGCTTTGGGGCTTGTCTCCCAGTTGCTATAAGACTCAAGAGGTGACTCTCAGAGCGGGAGAGGCACCCAGAATCCTGCCTTTGGAAGCATGTGCGCACCATCTGATCCAACCCGCCTTTAAAAAAATGCAAGAAGTTAAAACACACATCCACAGACCAGTTGATTCAATAAAGAGCTTTTGGTGAGTGTTCATTCCAGATAATAAACCAAGCAAAATGTCTGGCTGTGTTTAAAATCAACAAAAGCAGCGGGAAAGGCAGAAAGAAGGGAAGGGAGTGATCGGCTTGTTTTGAAAGCTGCCAACAGAGCTGCTTTAGCAGGGGCCCTGGTGCCGAGGAGCCCCCCAGGGAGGAGAAAGGAGACAAACGCAGACAGGACGGAAGCCCAGGACAGGGGAGGAGGGGTCCTAGGCTAATGGGATGCAGATGTGGCCTGTGGGAAGCTTTCCTCAGGATTTCGGGAATCTTTGGTTGCTCAGGACTAGGAGGCCAGTGGGTGTGAAGGGCTCAGAGCTAAGCCCAGCGCTTCCCAACCAGAGAGTGAATTTGATAATAATGGCTATATTTATCGAGTGTTATACTATGTGCCAGCCTGTTCTAAGCTCTTTACATGCATTATTATTCCCATTTTATAGGTGAGGAAACTGAAGCTCTCAGAGAGGCACTGGGACTTGCTCACAGCTGCTAAGGGAGATTCCTCTGCCTCATTCTTGAACCCAGGCTCCTTAACGCAGAGCAACACTGCAATTGGCCTGGGAAGGGCTAATTAGCATGGCATGCTAACCAGCTGGAATCTGGGAAATGCAGATTGGGGAGGAAGGGAGGTTAGTGTCCAGTGATGAGTTTTAGTCCAATTGATGTCTAGGCAATGCCAACCATAATGTCACCAGATGAAAGGACTTTTTGCCCAGTTCCCACATGCAGTGGAGTCAGCCCTGGCCCTGAAGTACCCGACAGACAAAGGCACCGTGCAGGTCAGAGAAGCCACCCCGGACCCGCCGGCCCATCTTACCGATGGTGCAGTGCTCGCCGTTCCAGCCGGGGCTGCATTCACACTTGCCGTCGCGGCAGGTCCCATGCTCTGCACAGCGCGGGTGGCAGGCCCGCTGGTCGCAGGCCGCCCCCATCCAGCCTTCCTCACAGCGGCAGGTGCCCCCCACACACACACCGTGGCCCCCGCAGTCGGCAGCACAAATTTCTGTGGGGAGGAAGAGGAGGGGCCAGGAGAAGCAGGAGAGAGAGGAGAAAGAAAAAAAAAATACTGAGCAAGTTGTTGCTGGGAACAAGAGTCACACTTGGCTACCTTCCTTGGCTTCTGGGAGCAGTTGGGATTCCAGGGGCTGGGGAAGCTAATCTTTGTGGACAATGACCCTCAGGCAAGAACAATTCTCTGGACAGAAGCCTGTCCCAAACCCATTCTTCAAAAAATAGGATGGATGGAAGGGCTCTGCTCTGTTTGCTTCCCCTATTGCCAACCTGTCCCCACGTCTGTGCTTGCCACTTCCAAAGGGGACTGTCCCGCTGAACAGATGGGAGGAAAAGTCAAATTTAATTAAAAACTGGTTATGTGTGAAAACAGTGAGGATGAGTCTGCGATCGCCACAGAAGGGCTAGTGGGCGTGTTCTGGGGCCTGCGTTTTGGTCCAACCTTGACTCTGATTGACGAGGGGTGAAAGGAAGGCTGGACCCTGGGCCTCATGTACTCTAGGAGGTGGCTGGTTTGTGCTTTTGCCAGGTGTATGTTGAATGCTTTGCCACTGCAATTCCAAGCACCATCTAAATGGCCTCTCTGATCCAAAGCAATCAGATGGGGGGGGGGGGGCACTCCACAGTGGGAGTTGTCTGGCCCTTCACCAACACGTACATGATCTGATTCACAAGCCCCTGGGGCCTGGGGTCAGCGCAGCTTCATGATCATCCAGGCAGAGGCTGTGGAGGCTCCCAAACACAACTGCTGTTTAGGGACCGGGCTGACTAACCATGGCCGTGATGCCCCCTGCCAGGGCTCTAGAGGGAGACCCTGACTCGATTCTGTGCCTCGTGGCCCAACCATCTTCAAATGAAAATCCCAACACCTTTAGTTTCTTTCAAATTAAGTTAATTGGCACCTGTACCAAACTGCATTTGCCCATTACTACTCCCTTCTAAGCTACTAATCGTCTAGCTATTTTTGAGAAAAAGAAGAAATGAGGTCCTAGAGGCTCAGTCCTTCTTATGAGTCTATAAGGCAATGGCTAAAATGTTCAAGAATTAAAAAATAACACAGTGAGTTACCATTTATAGTGAGCTCCCACGCCAGACACCTTGCCAAGCACACTGCCTGAGAAGGGAGGAGAGAGGCTGCTGTAAAATGGGTGCAAGAGCCCTGACGTAGAGCCAGACTCAGGAGCTTCTGAGCTGCGTGACCTTGGCCAGGTTCCTTGACGTCTCTGATGTGCGGAGTGTGGGCAGTACTGATGCTGCCTCATAGCCCCTGTGCTGACCCTCAGGGCTGTGATGAGCATGCAGTAAAATGGATGACAGAAAGGGCTTGGCAAACGGCAAAGGCCACAAACTCAAGAAATGTTTCTCGGGACAGTGAGTTTTAGACTAGGAGTCCAAGGATCAGGTTTGCAAGATCTGTGCCTGCTCAGCCACTAATCTGCTATGTGACCTTGGGGAGGTCACTTCCCCTCCCTGGGTGTCAGTTTCCTCATCTACTGCAGGGGGGACCTGATGGCATTATTCCTTCCGGCTCTAAGGGAACTTTATGTCTACATCATAAGTACCCTCTATGTTACAGAGCATCATCTACCCTGAGGCTCAGCTCAAGTGTCCCTCCTGCTGAGAGGAATCGCCTTCGATTCATCCTGTGGTTGCTCTATTGCTCCTGGCCTTCCCACTCTACATGGTGGAGTGGTTTGCTGTTTCTGTGTCTGTCTCAGTATCAGACTAGGGACGCCCGAGTCTGGATTGAATTCTTCTAATCAGGTCTAGGCCTGATACCCAACACAAATCTTGGCACAGAACCGACCCTTAATTAAGGTTGTTGGCTAATGGATTAATCTGTGTTTGCCTGGGGCTATAGGTGCCTGAGACTGTAAAACAGATCATAAACACCCTACTCAGCCTGGTGGAAATCAGTCCAGGACTATTTATCTGCTTATCTCTAGTGAGTTGCTCTGAGGGAAACTTGCCAAGTGAGGGGAGGTGGGTAGCAGTGTCATTCCACCAAACAGTCCTCCTGGAATGGGCCTTTCTCAGAATGCCCTTCAAGCTTCTTTCCCTTCTTCGCACACAGACCACAATGACACTCTGCAGGCCCCAGGCCTCCCTGAGTCCTGTTTCTGCAGTTCCCATCCCTTCTGCACCTCGCTCCTAGGGCCCTGGCCCCTGCTGACTCTGGAGGCAGAGCCTGCACTCAGGGCTAGAGCTTCCAGGGAAGCCAAGAGGGAAGATTGGCTTGGCATCTGTTTGGCTATACTCAGCACTATTTCAGGTGGCAGTTTATTGTGGCAGTGAGGTGGGGCCACTGCCTGGGTGCTTCAGGCAGCAGGGCGTGCAGAGTTGATGGGGGTGGAGAGCCGAGGAGGCAGGCTCTCTCCACAGCTTGACTTCAGGTCTTAGCCAATAGGTAGTTCAATCCCTTATTAAGCAGGCTGGAAGCAGTGGGATGAAAAGCTAGTTACTTGGAATCAGATGTGCCTCCAAATATTAATTCTGCCAGTTATTCAACCATTGGCAGCCTATCCACTGGCCCTGAGCTTCAGTGTCTTCCTCTATAAAATGGGGATGATGATAGCACCCAGTTCAGAGGGTACAGAGTTCCTAATACATAGCAGGTATTGATAAATTCATACTGATTCATTATTCCTCCAATAATATTCCATGCATGCCCACTATGTGCCAGAGACTTGCCTGATGCCAGGAATCCACGGGTCAATAAGATATGATCCCCTCCCTCCAGGAATCATAGTCCAGATAAAACACAGACTGATACTGGCATTCCAAGACTAACCACCTAATCTGCAGGCATTACTCACTTCCGCACCCTTTTGCTTATGTGCAATGAAGGAAAACCTGGAATCTTAGGATCAGACAGATTTGGGGTCTACCCTTGGCTTTGCCACTTGTTGGCTGGGTAATCTGCAAGTTGAAAGTTATGGAATTCACTGAGCCTTGCTTTCCATTTCTGTAAAACGGGAATAATAATTCCCACTTCACCCATCTCACAGGGCTGGTGTTAGATCAAATGAGGAATGTGTGGGAAAGCTGTTCTTGGTTTAATAATGAACGTTTATTCAGGTTTTACAGTTTGCAAAGCACCCTTCATGTACCATGTCTCATTGAACTGTTAAACAATGCTGCTATCTTTCCTAGAGGTGATGCTACTGAGACCCAGACAATGCAAGGGAATTCTACAAGGTCAGGTGGTCTTCTGGTCCTTCTTCCTCATTGGACAATCCTCAGAGCAATGCTACAAGACAGGAATTTTCCAGATAAGGGCACGGAGAGGCAAAGGGGCAGCTTTTGCTTTGAGGGAAACTTGGTTCTTCAAGCACATCTCCCCATTTTCTGGCCCTGTTGTTTATTCTTTGTGACAAATCAGATCCTGGATAGATGTGAAGTGAAATGAGACCCTCCACAGTTCTCATCCAGAGATCACGGAGCTGTCCATCCAAACGCCCCATTTCCTCTCCAGTTCCTCTAGATGAGCTCTCCTGGCCTGGAGCGCCAGTTGCCTAATGGCTGGTCACCCCTTCATCCGCCCTTTACATGTTGGGTTGTGAGCTCTTACACATTTTAATGGAAGGGGCCTGAACAGGGGGACCCTGATGTTTATGGGGTGCTGACAGTCACACAACCTGTCAGTGTCCAGATTCTCTTCTGCCTGAGCAGATGGACCCACTGACATCTCAGAAACCTGAGATGCTACTTTATCATTTGTCCTCAAGCCATAGGCACCGTTGTTATTGTATTTATATATACTAGTGTGTAGTCTACGGCCATACCACCCTGAACGCGCCCGATCTCGTCATATATACTAGTGTGTGTGTATATATATATATATATATATATATATATATATATATATACTTTTGTACTTGAAATAAAAGGAACTCCTTTATTTTTCCTTCTAGATTCTGCTTTGACATTAAAGCAAACAGAATTTTGCAGAGTGGTGGTGAAAACCTAACAGTATAATGCTAAAGAATGGGCTTTGACAGCTCATAAGCCCTTTATGTGACGTAAGTGAGACTTTGTGAAATTTGGGTCACGGCTGGTCTCTAGGTCTCAAGTCTCCTCAAATGTAAAGCAGGGATGACACCCATTCTGCAGAGAGCTGATGTAGGAATTACGCTCATTTGTTTAATTTTGTAATTTCTCACTCTAGCGGGCGCTGGAGAGCCAGTGGTGACTATGACAGGGTTCTTTCCTGACCTCAAGAAGCTGACATCTAGCATGGCAGGCAGACATACGCTCAATCAATTAAACCTCAACATGAATGGAAGGGAAGCTGCTAGCCTAGTGCCATGTGTGATCAACTGTGCCCATACAGTCTTATAAAAAAGGAAATGAGGTGGAGTGGCAAGTATACCAGACTGAAGTCAGAAGATCAGTTGTGAATTCTTGTTTATGCAACACACGCAGTACAGGTGAGCATTTGATAAACGCTGGCTGACTTTCATGTGATTAACATCAGGGCTTTCTTACTAAATGCTGGAGGGTCAGAGCCGGAGGACTCTTCTGAAGTTCCATGCAGTACACAATTCATAGGATAGACTTTGGTTCAGATTCTGACCCCCAGTTTCCTTGGGTCCCTGTGGAGTCCTTGAGAGAATGACTTAATCTCTCTGAGCCACACTTCTTCACCACCAGAATGGGGAGGGTAATAATGGTCCCCCACAGGGTGAGGAGGGATAATTGAAAGAAGTATATGTGAAAAGGTCTATGCCAACTGTGCTATGTACATGATTGACTGATGGGGACCTAAGACATCCTGTATCAGCACAACTCCTAGTCCCCTGGCAGAGTAGCATCTTCCTGAAGAGAAAAATATTTGCTTTTCTAGTAATAGCCTCAAAATTTGGATATTAAGCCCTTTCTCTGGTACCATCAGCCAAGACCTTCAAAACCCAGTTAGAAGCTATTTATATTTGTAGCCTAGGCATCCTCTTGAAAACAGATGAAAATGCCCCACTGTTCTAAATTCCATGC